CCCAGAGGTGCCTGAGCATCAGTGAGCCACAGCCTAGGGCTCCATGAGCCACGGCAGCTCCATGGCCTGCAGGGGCATTGGAAGACATGAGGAGATCAAAGTCAAACGGAATCCAGTCCCAGAGGACTGTACAAGAAATACAGGGAAGGGGCCAGGGATTTAGCGCCTGCTGTGCAAGCGCAAGGACCCGAGGTCGATCTCTGGTACCAAAAAAAAAAAAGAAAGAAAGAAACACAGGGGAAGCACCGGGCATCGTCACCCGTGCCAAGTATGGTGCGCCTTCTCCAACCTCCAAACACTCGTGAACTATGCTCTGAATGCGTGAATACCACAGACAAGCCAAGTGCCACCGGGCTGCCTAGAAGGGATGGCAATGGCTCCGGGCCAGAGAAAGAAGGAAGCAGGGATGGAGACCCAATCCAGACAGAACGGGCTCTCTGGGTTGGCCTTCAAAACCACCTTGAGGCTAAGTCAAGTACAGAAAGACAAATACCATATGTTGTCACTCATACATGGGAGAAAATAAAGTTGGCAGCATAGAAGCAGAGAGTAGAATAGCAGCTACCAGAGCATGGGAGGAATGAGAGGAAGGGGCGGGAGAAGTTAGTTAAAGGGAACAGCGGCGCAGTTGATGGTTGGTGTATACACTCCCTATCATAGAACTTGTATATTATATGCTACAGCTGACCACAGTTAATTGTGAATTTCAAAGGAGCTCACTGAAAGGATTTTAAATATTCTAAGCACAAAGAAATGGCAAGTGTTTAAGGCACTGGATATGCCACTTACCCTGATCTGCATGTATGTGTTAAAATATCACACTGTACCCCATACATATACACAACTGTTATGTCAGTTAAAAATAAAAATAGTTATATTTTCTATAATGTATGTTTTATATGGGATTTACCAGGACGAGAGAGAGAGAAAGAGAGAGAGCGAAACAATGGTATTAGGGCAGCGCCGTAGCAGTCATGGTGACTCATGACTGTTCTCACATCCTGATCCTGTCACTTACTAGCTATAGGATTTGGAGCAAGCGGTGTATCCTCTCTGACTCTCAGTTTCCCAAGTGTAAAATGGGAATGACAATTGAACCTACTTACAGAACAATTACGAGGATTACATAAGTTTAAAATGTAATGTTCTTGGATCAAAACTTCCCCTGCCGCTATCGTTTGCATCTGGAAAGTTCCCCAAAGGCTCATGTGTCCTCCATTTTCACTGTTGGAGGTGGTGGAACCGTTAAGAGGTAAAGCTTAGTGGGAGGACTTAGGTTGCTGGAAATGCCCTCAAAATTCCTTGCTTTCTTCCTCTCTCTCTTTTTCATTTCCGGGTTACTAGGTGAGTGCCTCTGCTCATCACACACTGCTCGCCATGATGTGCTGCCTTGCCTCATGCCCGAAAGCAACAGGGCCAACCAGCCATGGACTGAAACCTCTAACACCGTGAGGCTACATAACGTTTTGCATTTATGTTGATTATCCCAGGTATTTGTTTTCCTACTGGAAGCCTGACTAACATATCCACTACTAAACTCAACTGTGTTGGCAGCTACCATGACTACTCGTAATAGCAGAGCAATCTCCCGCTCTTTTCCCTCACTCCTGTCCACACCTGCTCCACCTGGGGACACCTCCTTCTCGGTGCTCGGTGCTCAGTGTTTGTTGGCTTGGCTGTCCCAGCTGCCCTCATGCCCAGCTCTGCAGCCCACTCACCTGTTGCTCTCCCAGACTTCCTGCTGGCCACGGCGCTTGTCCACATTCAACATCCTCAAGCCAGGTGTCCTCTCATCTTTGTGGCTCAAGGAGGAGCTTGGAACAGGCACTCTTCATGGTGACACAGGTTCAACTCCCAACTCAATCCTTGATGACACAATGTACATTAAACCTTCTGGAGCTTAGTTTATTTTTTATCAGTGAGAGTTTCAAAGGGTACCTCATACTGCTACTGAACCAGGCCCATTTTTCCACTGCATAGTATGCCAATCCACTACTTTTGTAAAAGAAAAAAAATTCAGCAAGTGGAGATAGGAGAACAAGTATGAAATTTGCCTCCCGCAAGGATGATGTTTAGAAATATTTATGGTATGAAAAAGCAGGATGGCAGGGCGTGGTGGGGCATGCCAGTGATCTCAGCACTGGGGAGGCTAAGGCAAGAAGATCACTGTGACTCTGAGGACAGCCTAAACTACATAGCGAGACCCTGTCTCAAAAAAAAAAAAATCAAACACACTAAAAAGGCAGGGTGATTTATAGCATGGAGAAAGATGATCGGAAGTGAGTAGAAGCAAAGCCATCAGTGGTCTCTGCATGCATGAAAAATCTTAGTGGCTCAGAGGACATGGTGGCATTGGCATGCTCTGAGGGCAGAGCTTCACCCTTTGACGTCAAAGAGGTCACCACTGGACACTTACACGAGCCCAGGAGGAGAGTCAGTTGTTCCCACTGCACTGAGGTAAACAAAGCTGCCCCAAAGGTCTTGGAAAGGAACCAAGGCCACCAGTACCATCACAACCCACACATCAGCTGTGTCACCTCAGCAAAGCCAATGGAGACCAACAGTACATCACTCCACTTCGTGGCTCCTAAAATCAGTGATGCTTAAAGTCAACCAAAATCACTTATCTAAACACAAGTGAAGCTGGAGGGTTTATTCAGGTTTTCCCTCGACTTCAATAGGTCTATTGTTAAGGCTTAAATACAAATAAATAAATAAATAACTATGCTGAGTTTTTAACCCAATGCCTGACATATGTAAATGCTCAATGTTAGCATAAACAAATCCCAAAAGAGTTGTGTACTTTTTCATCTTTCTGGAACAAGAATCATAATCTTTATCCAGTTATCAGTAGGATCTATTTCTTCCTGTTTGATATTTTCCCAGACAGAAGGAAACTCCTAAGACTACAAAATATAAGCAACACTCCTCTTTTAGTACTTTGATAAGTGTACAGAGTCTTTGTAACAAATAAAGACTAGCAGAGAAGCCCCCTGTGGGTTCTGTCTTCCTGTATGTGATCAGACACAGAGGGGACCTTGGGAGACAGGGACCTGATGGTGGGAAAAACTGCAATGAGATGAAGAGGGGCTCCCGGGTTTCCTTTCTTCCTTCCCCACACCCTCACCCCCCGGTTGCCAGGGCCCCCAATTTGATCCATCTTTCTAGCTCAGCTAAATTTATTTCCAGAAAAGTTTCTGAGAAATTCATTGGCCCTAAGACTGGGATGAAAAAGAACACAAGATTCCCAGGAATATTTGCATTGAAGCAGATGGGCAAAGCTAAGATCAAAGGGCTTGAGGTCTAATTAGGAAATTACAGGCCCAGGGAATGCTAGGAAGGAAAAAAAAAAAAGTGTTGTATAACTGGGAGATGATCACAGCACCACTGTCATTATAGCACGTGTGGCCTTTCCCAGGTGGAGCGGCCGGTGGCGGGCTCGAACCAGACAGAAAGGGAAATAGGTTTCCTGCTGTTCTAGAAACACAAAAATCAGGCCCTCAGAGCCTTGGAAAACAATGAGATTAGGTACATACGAGCTGATATGGAAAGAGATAATCAGTGAAAAAAGCAAGTTACAGGCCGATACATACATATGTATATAATACAACGTATGTATACCACGTTCCAGAAAAGTACACGTGAAGCAAATAGGTAGCAATGGCTATCTCCAAAGAGGAAGCCTTGGCGAATTGGAAGTCTGGAGTGGAAAAAAGACTTATTTCTGTTTTCTCACTTTAATTTTATACCGTGATGTTTTTATCATATGTATATATCATTTTCACAATTTAAAGAATAAGTATGAAAGAATTTAGTGGACTATGAAACCTTTTGATAAAACCAATGGCATGAGATATTGTTTTTAAAAAGCGAATGAGAGACCATAGTTAGCAAGAAAACAGAATATGCCGGGCGCTATAGCACATGCCTGGAATCCCAGGAGTCAGAAGGCTGAGGTAGGAGGATTATAAGTTTGAGACTAGCCTAGGCCAAATAGCAAGACTGTTAAAAAAGAAAGACAGAAAAGAAAAAAGAGTGCCATGAATCAAAACCACAGCCAAAATATTTCCCTAGGTTTCAGAATTCAGGCTCAATTCTGTGATGTAAAGCAGGCGTCCCCAACTCCCAGCCATGGACCAGCAGCCACACAGGAGGTGAGCCGCTGGTATCCATGGAAGCTTCATCTGTCTACAGCCGCTCCTCATCCCTGAGCTCTACCTCCTGTCAGATCAGCTACCATTAGGTTCTCATGGGAACAGGAACCCTACTGTGGACTGCCCTCCTGAAGGGTCAGGGTTTCGGGCACCTCGTGAGAATCCAAGGTAATCATAACAGAAATAAGTTGTGCAAAGTAAAAGTAGAAATAAAGTACACAACAAATATAATGCACTCAAATTATCCTGAAACCCCCCCCCCCAGTGTGTGAAAACAAAATGTCTTCCACGGAACCAGTCTTCAGTGCCAAAATGTTGCAGACCACGGATATAAAGAGTTACTAAAGATGACTGAAGAGCCAGGACAGCTGAGAGGACAGATCCCCAGTGCCTGAGTCAGCTTTCTTCATGAAGTAGGTTTTCATTTTATTTTTATTTTTTTTATTTTTTTCTAAATAAAAAAAATACTATTCAATATTATTCCAAGTACTAAAGGTGAAATAAAGTTATAAAAGTAGAAATAATGATTCTGACATAGAAAACAGTTCAGAAAAATCCCAGTTTCTTATCAAAATGAAAATTCCTAAATTCCAATTCCAGCAAGTATCATAAACTAGTTTTAAAATTCCAATGTGGGGCACAATTCAGAAAGCTCAGCTGCAAAAGTTCTTCTACACATCTTCTCCTCCAGCCTGCGTTGTTTCTCAGGATCTTCTTCATTCATGATTCGCTCCTTCTCTGCTCTTTTCTTCTCCTCACAACGAGATTGTGCAGCTTCCTGTCTCTGCACATGTGTCAGTTTCAAGAAGTTCTCTTCTGCACGAGTAGCGCACGGTCCTTATCTGCTTTGTTTGCCTTCTCTGTTGAGTCGGAACTTTTTGGCTTTGTCAATAGAATAAATCACCATGTTCATCAGGGGTAGCAAAGCTTCCATATTCTTTGGATAAGTGTTACCTGAGCCAGGCACATTAAATGTAAACAATAATGTCCACTTAGTGTCAGGTAGCTTTAAAGGCTGACCTTCCTTTTGCATAATTTTTGGACCAGAGAACTGGTCTGAAAAATGAACAAATTCAATCTTGTCAGAATAGTGTGTAAGAAAGTGAACCATGTTTGTATCCATCATTCCCTCTGTGACTTCTCCCATCTCTGACAGGATGGCCAAAGAGTCTGGCAACCCATATTTTGCTCCAGACTTAGGTTTATCACTACAAAATTCACTCAGATCTTGCATCTCCTTCTGCAGTGGCACCAAAGCCTTTCATGTGCCCACAGCAAATACATATGTATCCATGTCTTCATCATTCATGGTTACTTTTATTTGCACTTGATCGCTCACTGGTCTCATCATCTGAGCCAGGACATTCAGTAAGTCTTATCTCTTGAGGAATCTCAGCTGGATAAGCATGCCCTCACAGCACACTCGACCAGAACACCACAGGTTATAGATGTGCTCATTCTCTTGGTTCAATTTTCCTGTGCTTGTGGCTTCTTTGTTAGTTCCATCATCCCCTACTAAAGTAAAGTTGTTCTCCAAAAGCTCTCTATGAGTGTTAAACCAAGCCTGAGCAAAGCGACTATTTTTATTCTTCCCAATGATATAGTTCATGATATAAGCAAGCAGACCAGTCACCATCAAAATTTCCAGATAATAACTCTCCCAACTGTTCTGGAGGTGTGCAGGAGCATCAACAGTTGTTATTGGGTCCTTATTTTTACTAGACGAAGTATCTGGTTTGTCTTCATAACCTTCAAATTCTTCATCATCATATGGCTCACTCTCAGTATCTCCTTCCTGGGTATCTGCATCTTCAAAATCTCCTTCTTGGTTTTCATCCTGCCCTTCCAACTCCACAGTGGTCTCATCTTCATCATCTTCAGTCGTTATCAACCACTGAGGAGATTCAGTAACAGATTCTTCCACGACATCTTCAAATTCAGCAAAGTCATTATCATCATATTCTATGTCATCCTCATCTTCAAAGTCATCAAGCCTGGCTTCAGAGACACTTCCAAACACCAAAAGAACAATACAGAAAGCATGGAAGGCTTTCATTTCACCTTTATTCTCTTGGGAGTTCTGGGCAGCTCCCAGTCACTGCCACTTTTTCCAGTCCCAGATCCGCTTTCTATTGGGCCTTTTACACTTTTCACCCAGCAGCAGCTTCCTGTCGGTGCCTAGTAGGTTTTCATTTTAGAAAACCATCTCTACTACATTTCCATCCCTGCCTACTTTTGAACAGGAGACAGCATTTCAGGGAGTTGGGTTCTTCATTACTGAAGTTCACACCTCTATTGTGGCCTCTCACCCCCACCACTGGCTCCGTTCCTTGTAAGTAGGGTTCCCCTTGCTGTCTGGGATGAAGTACTCAGATGGCCAACAGTCCAGAGACGGGCTGGGTTAGGGTGGATGTGGTGTCCTTGCAGGATTGCTCAACGCCATTATGGGGACCACTCCGAGAAGTTCTGCTCCATTCCTTATGCTTTTGCTTTGGGGGTTTGGAGATCATCACTATTGGTGGAGAAAAACAAAACAAAAGCCTCACAAGCCTTAGAAATTACAAAATTTCCCAGTGGAACATTCTATTAAGAGGAGGGGGCACTTCTGTCTCCATCCCCAGCCACCACCAGCAATCCCCAGAGGGGCTGCAGAAGTGAGAGAAAGCTCTCCTGAGAAATTCCCTGGAAACATCCCACTTTGCCAAATGCTACGCAACTGAAATTAAACAGAAAACTTTGGCTTTGCAAACACACTATTAAGAACAACAAAAAAATGCATATCCTCTAGGTGTCATTGAAGTCTTTTTTTTTTTTTTTTTGTACCAGGGATCGAACTCCGGACCTTGCTTTTGCAAGGCAGGCACCAGAACCACTGAGCTAAATCCCCGGCAAATTTTCATAGTCTCAATAATTTTTTTTTTTTTTTGGCACCAGGTATCGAACTCTGATCCTTGTGCTCTTGAGACAGGCAGCGTAACCACTGAGCTAAATCCCCAGCCCCCATTGGAGCCTTTAAAGGCATTGGTGAACTCAAAAGGCAACTGAATAAGTAAAAAGGAAATTTTACAAACATTCGAAGTCAGAAGAAAGATCTGTGAAATCAGACAATAAGTCTCACACTACCGCCAGCTTCCTGGTGAATTTCTGTAAGTATGTTGGCCCAATCTTGCCAATGATGTTTGGGACAGTACTGGTCCAAATTAGTCAGAGTCTATGCACTGGGCATAGTGGGACATCTCTATCCTTAAGTTATCTTTTAAGGGACAGGCATAGAAACACACTGCAACATTTAGAATGATGTCTTGTAGTGAACAAGATCAAAGTGAAAGCTTTTTTAAAAATTCACATCTATAAACAGTTTCCAATATATTCCGGGCACAACGTTTAATGCTTTAAATGTATGGTCATAACTCTCACACCATTTCTATGAGGTGGTTGCTGCTTCTGTGCCTGGTTCATGATGATGGAGCAGAAGTTTAGAAAGAAGAGGTAATTACCATGTCCAGAGCCCGACTCTTAACCACCAGGTTAGTTTCCTCTGCGGTGTTAATCAGACATATTCAAGGGTCAGAGGAGTGGATTCCCCAAGCCCCATGTACATTGAGAATGCATCCTGTGCTCAATCAACATCAAAAATTCTAAAATTTTCTTCAACCCATCCAACATCGCTACCTGCAACTGGGCCAAAACTTGGTGCTATATCTGAGTTTTTGGGGGTTACTTTGTAAAAACAGTCCTCACCCACCAAACATCCTGGCCAGGGAGAGAGGGGGAGAAGTTACTCTGTCTTATTGAACACTGGATTATTTAACATAAGGAGGTCATATAAAACTTTATTTTTCCTTGATGTATAAGTTATGTTGCTTATACAAGAAAAATAAAGCCAAATCAAAATGTTTCCCTCATATAATAAATGTGCTTTGAAAGTGACTTATAAGCATAAAAATACTCATACATTAAATGTGCTGAGAGAGGACAGCTTTCATTGGAGTGTTGGTCAGTAATATAGAATAACGGTTCCTGGCACAACACAAAAGATAAATGTTAGAAGCACTCTAAGCTGAAGAAGCCAGACTCAAAAGGCTACATGCTGTATGATCCCATTTAAACGACATTCTGAAAAAGAAAAAAACTATAGAGACAAAAAATAGATTGTCAGAGCAGAGGTGAAAGGAATCCTTCGCTAACACGTAGGGCAGGGTGCTTGATGGAACTTCTTATAGCTTGATCGCGGAGATGGTTACACAATAGAACACATTTGTCAAAATTCACAGATGTGTAGAATTAAAAAGTACATTTTACTGAATGTAGATTGCACCGTGATTTTTCAAATTTAAAGAAACAAAATGGAAACATATTCTGCATGAACATTAATGCAAAAAGTCTCAATAATAGTTATTTCAAGGATAATTACATAACCATTCAAACTTGCTATTTGTATGTTGTATAGTTCTATGGAGTCCTGTGTTTAAACAGGAGATTCAGAATAAATGATGATACTGTGACTGTAAAACAAAGACACAGAACTTATTATTTAACTTTTGTCATTCTGTGAGATCAGTTGGAAATTATGATCAGTGTTTAATTTTTAAAACAGTGAAAAATAGTGAGAACTGTGAGATTTTTGTGTTTGTCAAATGTAGATTTTTAGTTAACATATAATATATCCTAGAATATTGTGTTAAGATCTTTAAAGTATAATTTTATTCTTCTTTAAAGCTATAAATTGTTTTCAAAATGAATAGATTTTAAAAATACATTATAGCCGTGGTACAATATAGTAGTTCCTTAAATTATACTTCTTCCAGGCTTTTAGCTTAATTAAAAGTAATTTATTAGTTTCAGGACATATTTAAAGAATTTCTACAACTACCTGCTTATCTTCATGTGAAAGAAATTTTGGAAATTAAAGTTAACAAAAGTCTTCAATTAATTATGAGTAGAGATAGATTGAAAAATCCAGCTACATACTCTCAAATATAACTATACCACAATCAATTTTGACAGTCATTGCCAAATTTGTAGAAGTCAAGCTTCAAAACAGAAGCAGTGAGGGGGAAATCATCTTTTCAGTAAATGGTGCTAAGTCAACTGTGTATCCACATACAACGAGGAAGAAACTCTCTCCTCTGCTGTATTTAAAATCAACTTCAGGGCCGGGGATTTATCTCAGTGGTTTTGCCGCCTGCTGAGCAAGCGCAAGGACCTGATTTCGATCCCTGGTACCAAAAAAAAAAGCAAAAAAACAAAAAAAAATCAACTTCAGGTGGACAGAGACCTAAATGTGATAAATAAAATAATACAGATTTTAGAAGACTACATAAAAGAATATCTTGGTGCCTCTGGGTTAGAAACCCCTAGTGAAAAGAAAAAGAATGATTCATTTGTCTTCATTACATTTAAATCTGTTCCTCTAAGGATAGCTTTAGGTGAATGAAAAGGGCAACCACAGAGAACTTAAAACTAATGGAAAACTTCCTATACCCTGATAAAATCCAGTGTCAGCAACGGAATAGCACAAAAGGATTCCACAACATTTCTGGTAGGAGTATAATTGATAAAAGTATGTTGAAAAAGAGTTTAGAGTTATATAGTAAAGATGAAAATAAAACATTCTATGAGTTAGAACTTCAGACTATGCAGATTAAAGTGATCAACACACCCTCTCGCCCAGGAAACAAGCATAAAGGTGAACAAATTATTTAAAATAATAATTTCATGGCACTAGAAATTTACTAATGGTATTTACCAAATGGAATGCTATTAGTCACAGAAAGTTCTGAAACTTTGGGAGATGGCTAGTAGGACTCTGAAGACTATTTCTAGTCAGTGCCTCTGTCCACCTGGCCAGCCACATAGTTTAATCAGGCAATGAAAAAACTAGCTTTCCTGCCACTTGTTGACGGGTTTATAACATGCATAGATTATTTATGGAAAACACTGTCTACCTATTAGGTCAATGAGAGAGAGAGAGAGAGAGAGTCAGGTGACCATAACTTTGATATATACCCTAGACAAGCCAATTTAAAGTTTGTTTGGGCTCACAGTTTCAGGGATTTCAGTCCATGGTTAGTCAGCTTCATTGTTTTGGGGCCCTTAGCAAGACACAGCATCATCGTGCATGGCAGAGTAAGGTTGCTCACCTCATGGGGCCTGGGAAGCAAAGAGAGGGTCAAGGACTCAACATCCCCTTCAAGAACATGTTCCCGATAACCTAATTTCCTTCCAATCGACCCCGCCTCCTAAAGGTTCCACCATCTCTCAATAGCACCCATTAGCTGTAGACCAATCCTTCAACACATGAGCCTTTTTAAGATTCAAACAACACACACACACACACACACACACACACACACACAGTGATGGAGAGAAAAGGAAAAGAAATTGATTTATATTGAAGTAAAGTTGCTCTGTTATATTGGAATTAAGTACAATGGTACCTCGGTTCACAAACTTAATTCTTTCCACAATTATAGTCACAAACCAAATTGGATGAGAACCGAATCAAATTCAATGGTTAGATTCAATGTTGAACTTATGGGGAAATTTGATTTGGTTCTCATCCAATTCGGTTTGTGACCAGAATAGTGGAAAGAATTAAGGTTGTGAACTGAGGCACCATGGTAAATATTAATCTGAGTAGGATAGTAGCAAGTAAGATGTACACTGCAGTCATGCAAGTAAGCACTAAGAAAATAGTTCATAGAAATAGTAAAAAGTCAACAGAGGAGACATAAATAAGAATGAAGAACGTTAAAAAAATCTTCTCCATAAAAAAACAAAAAACAACTAAAAAAAAAACAAAATGAAAAAACTGGCAATAAATATCAATATCAACTTTTCATAGCTCAGGAAATCAAAGACTTGAAACATCTGGGATCATTTATTCAACCAAAATAACTAAATCTCAGTAAAGAATGGCAAGCTTTCTGACATTTCAGCTCGCCTTAGTGCCGGCCTCCTCTCGTCAGCCTTGAATATCAACATTCCAAATCACAATGAATTAAGCACTCAGTGGAAGGGTTGGAACTCTTTCAAGATCCCATTTCCAGAAAA